GTGTGCGTGCGCTGACCACATGCACACCCATTCCTATAAGCCCCTTGAGATACACCCCATTAATATTCCTGCTTACACAATATCCTAACAAAAATATTCACTTCTCATAGTACATACCTAGTTACGTAAAAAATGTAACTCACAAATTCACACACAGAAGCATACACACCAACCCCCTTCACGTACACACAGCAACAACAGCCACCATTTGCCACGAAGTGGAAGTGACATCACCACAGCGCCTGTGCCAGGCTAGGTGCACTTCGAGGCCACATGGAGTGTCGAAGGTCCGCGGATAGGTCACGGGACAGACCGAGGTGCCATGGATTGAGTACATGAAATGACCTGCAGCAGCACCACCTGTACTCCCTACTGTGCCAACTTGCTGCATTTTATCCACTTAATGCTCCATCCACTCTTATTGGAGGGCAGCTGCCTCCAACTGCCCTGTCGTATCATTTACAATAGGGAGCCATCCCTCGGCCACACCTGGGCATCAATCAGTCTCCCATTGTATCTGTACAAGATGGACATTCCTCTGATACATCCATGGAAAGCGTCTCGAATTACGTGATCGAAGATATTATTAAACAATGTAGGAGCCACGGGACATCCCTGTCACACCCTAAGGTGAACAGGAAATGGCTCTGACTCCTGTCCTGCCACCCATCATGAAGATCCTTAATGATTGGTAGCAGAGTCAGGGACTCTGAAACCACGAAGACGAACCCACAGCCCTGGCCTATTGATGGTATCATAGTCCTGACCAGGTCAACAAAGCAGAGAAAGAGGTCCTGTTGGAATTTCCTACATCCCTGCTGTATGGTGTCTGTGCAGGACCGCTCTGGCCTCAAACCACATTGGGGCTCCGCAAGCCTCTCTTCAGCATGCCTAGGAAGGCAATGTTGAATTATCCTTGTCAGGACCTTTCCCGTCACACTGTAGTTGGTAAAGAGGGGGGCCACCAGGGCATCCTTCAAATCCTGTGGAATCTGTCCTATGGTTGAGACAGTGGTAATGCTGTCATATATGGCAGTCTGCACACAGATGCCACCCTTCTTCAGCAGCTCACTTCGGAGATCATCTCTGCCTGGATCATTTCAAAAGATGGCACCTCAGCCAGCCACTCACTAGGGGTGGCTACTTCTGCCAATATTTGAGGTACAGCAGCTCCAGCAAGGACATCCCCACCTTGCCCCATGGTATTGTCTGCAGAGGGAATTCCCCTCTCCCAAGCCCTCATTGAAATGCTCTGCAAACGTGCATGCCTGTTCCTGGGGGTTGAAGATCAGATCACCATTCTTTCTGTTAAGGATTGTGAAAGGTGAAGCGATACAAGTAAAAAAAAATGTATGGACATAAATAGTGATTTGTCATCATGGGCTACTAAGGCAGACTCCATCTCCTCAGCAACCTGCACCCACATCTCATCCTTGCAGCGCCGCATGACTCTCCGAACCTCCGAGCGAAGGCTTCTGTAAGCCTCCTCATTCTCTGACGTGGGATGTTGTAAATAACAGGAGTGGGCCTATTGTTTCTCTCAGCCAGCTGGAACACCTCTTCCAGCCAGGGTCTCTGGGGAGGTCTGGACTGCATACCCAATGCAACCATTGCTGCTGCATGAACCACAGTTCAAAACCTCACCCATTTCCCCTCAGCATCAGGGGGGGGGGACGATGCTGATATTGAATTTCCTGCTTGCAACTATCATCAACTCCCTGAGACCAGGCTACTGTGGGTTTGAATGGGGTAGACACCCACCACCGGAGTGGAAGAATGCCAGCGCATCTTACAGATGACAAGCCGATGGCCAGTGGGCAGATCAGCTCCATGGTAGGTCAAGGATATGGTACCATATTCGCTGTTCTCTCACTATATAGTCCAGCAGATGTTCTTGCTTGGACCCGGCATGGATCCATGATATGTGGATGCGCCGATGCTGGAACAGCATATCGGTGATTACAAACCCATGGGCTGCACAGAAGTCGAGCAGCCTCTTCCTATTATTACTGAGCTGATCTGGCCCATGCCTTTCAATCACTCCGGCCTAGGTATCTGCGTCATGACCAACACAACAGGATGACTCTGTCCCGAGGGGCCACTTTAGCTAGCACGTGGAATAGGAGGTTATAGAAGGCATCTGACTCATCAGCCTTGTCTGCATCCCTCCACTGATGTTCATCTACAGTGGGGGTTTAGACAACGACCACCGCCATTCCTCGCCTCTTGTTGATGGGGAGGTGAGCTCACAGCAACCTGGGACTCAAAGCTACCCACACCTTGCCTACACGCTCCCACACCCCCTTCATTATTTTGTTTGGCAGTTTCCTGCCCTGAATAGAGCATTATCTACACCTCATGCTAACTGGAGCCAAAACCAGTCCACCAGACCTCCTGTATTCTCACACACATTCAAACTCTCTCACTCTTGCACACACAGTCACTCTTTAACTCTCCCCAACACACACACTGTCTTAATTTCTTACGCTCTCAATTACTCTTTCTTACACACACTCTCACTCACAAAGACACACACACAAAGCTGGACATACATGCATTTACAGTCAGCATTTCTGCCTCTCTTATTCATTCACTATCACACTCACACACTTGCGAGCATGCACACGCTTGCAAGCACGCATGCACACACACAATCCTAATCTCACAAGTCCCCGCTGCGAGAGCGCCGTATCTGTAATTATCACAGCATCGGCCATTATAATTCCATCCGCCACACTCGCTCTATTTACTCGAGTCACGGACGACGAAGACTCAATCAGCTTCCCTGTGCCACCGTTATCAGCCCTGGCGCATGGCAATTTCAAAACAGAGCTCACACACAATGAGGCACATTCCCCACTACAAGCAAGCACGTGTGTGGATAAATAATTACACGCATACATATGCATGTTTGTACGTGTGTATTGATGTGTATTTATTGTCCATGCATAATCCTGCAAGCCTTAAACAATTACCTTTATACTATTTAATACTCTCTATATATGTGTGGGTATTTATATATAACGTAATAAAGTCGGAAAAATATATAAAGTGCGCATGATAATATATGTGTGTGATTATAAGCCATAAATGTACATTTAACATACACTTAAACTCTACATATATGTCCATGCCTTCGTGGTGAATAATCATGTGCAGTATAGAGTATACAGCACACTTGCATGTCTGTATGGTGCTTATACACAAGGCAGAGTCTATCTTGGCGGCTCAATTGAGCATGGGGTAGAGCTCCACTACATTGCTGGCCCTGAACCAGTGGCAGAAATTCCACATTAAGATAGCAGACATGCAAGTGTGCTGTATACATACTATATATTTTAAAATGTGCACGTTCGAGGCCCTGTAATGAGTATACATGAGCTGCACAAAGCAACTGCTGATGGAAGATATTTATGTAGAAATATAGAATTGGTAATACAGCACTGGATTAGAAGGTAACAGGATTTGTTTTTTATCACTGAAAGGAATTCATATAAAATCCAATGATTAATGTTTTCCAGTATCGTGCGCTTACAAAACATGGTAATGCTGGCCAATGGCAATTTCGATGAGTCTCATTGGTTGCATGCAACCTCATGAACCAATGACTCGGTGTCCCAATGTTATGGGCGGCAGAAACCTCCCGTATGTATGTATATTGAACTTATTTCGCAACGTACGTAACCAACCGTGCTAATCGGAGGTACAGGAACTAAGCGTACGTGGGGCCCACAACATAGGCATCTGCAGCAGTGTGTATAAAAATTTATTTTCTAAAATGTGTCGGAGTTTTGTGGGCGGTTTTTGTTGTTCCAGTTTACCAATGCAACATTGCCAGCGAGGGCAAGGTTTTTATAGCTCGCTTCACATCTCCCGCAAAGATGCGTGGGAGAGAACGACACGAGTAGCACAGGTGGAATATAAATGTGAATTTTAAGAGTAACATCCAGTACACATGTCGATATGCAAGTTTACATGAAATAATGTAAATCCATGCATTCAAAACAGCATTTCTCTTGTACTTTACCATTATTTCCATATCCGTTTTGCACAATTTTTTCACATTATTTTAAAAAAATCAACCTTTGTTTTATTTATAGTAAGGCAAGCAGTTATGCCATCTTTTCCAGGAGCTTTTCCAGTGTTTATCTTGCAAAGTGCTGTGGTTACTTCATCGAGTGTGACATCTGGAAAAATCTGCAGCCAGTGGAGGAATTGCGCCAAAGAGGGGAAGACCAATGTGGAGATGGAGCGATTAAATCAGTTTGTGTGCAAAAGCAAAATGGATTGTGACATTTCGGGACCATGGTGTGTGGTGATGAAGTGGCTTATATAAATGGCTGCTTATGATTGTAGACTGTCAGATGCTGAACTAGAAGATAATTCCTATAGCTCATATATGAACCTGGATTTACAAAAATGGGCATTCTTCTCATCGAGGATGTGGCCAATAACAGTAACTCTAACATAAAAGGACTTCTCATCCACAACAATACTGATAATAACACTCAACCTAGAGGGAATCCCTTCCATTTATAATATGAAATTACACTGAAACTATGTTTATTTGTAGTTCTTCCAAGGTCATGCTAGCGGTTGTATGTATGTACAGTATGTTGAACTTCTTTCGCACCGTACGCAGCCAATCGTGGTAAATGGAGGTGCGGGGGAAGGACAACAAACGAAACACAAAACGAAGTTCTAAAATAAATTAGTTTTCAATCTATATTTAAAAGTGCATAGCAACAGTGGCTTCCTAATATCGGAAGGAAGAGGGTTCCAGACAGCTGCAGAAGCGCATCTGAAAGCGAACGATGCAGTGACCGTCTTTGTTCGATGGCAAACCAAAAGCCGCTGTGAAGACGAACAGAGTCAGCGTGATGGTTTATGCTCCTTGAATACAGCATACCGTAGTGGATAAGATTCATGAGGCGTACGTGTAAATACATGGAGGTTACTTGAATACATTATATATGTGGGAATGCACGTGGACTACTTACGTTCTCCTGGAAGAGTTCTGGGTGAAGCCCTCGAACCATGTGTAGAGCGAACACAAGCTGATCGGCCTGCACACACATGTGCATAGCTTTATAGACCATAGGAGAAAATTCTGTAAGCGAACACCTTTTAAATTCAGCATGGAATACGTGTGGCCAGCAATATGATTGGTCATCTTTGTCCCTCCAGGACTGCATCAGGTAATCATTGTAAGCCAAAGCCACATGTCAAGAATAGATTCGAATTACTATTGATTTAATGGCCAGGAATCAAAGCTAGGTATAATGGATCATAGTGCTGTAAGTTCAATAATAATGACATTCCTGACGAGTGCATCCATTTAAGATGTGTAAAAAAACTTTTTTTTTATTATAATAATAGGGTTTTTCCCCTTTTTTCTGGCAACAAAACTGAAACCTTTTTACAAGGATTCATGTCTGCATTAACCACAATACTTGCAGTCTAAATGCAAAAAAAAAAACACTCAGATAATATATGTATGGTCTTTGAAACTGATTGGTCCACACCAGAGACAGCTTTTGTCTAATGATGATGATGATAGATATAAAAAGAAAGAAAGCTGTCTCTGGTGTGGACCAATCAGTTTCAAGGACCATGCATATATTATCAAAGTGTGTTTTTTGTTTGCATTTTGACTGCAAGTATTGTGGTTAATGCAGACATGAATCCTCGTAAAAAGGTTTCAGTTTTGTTGCCAGAAAAAAGGGGAAAAACCCTATTAGTATATTTTGGTACTGGCAAAGGAGGTCTAATGATGATGATGCTATAATTCTTTTTTATGTAGAGACAGATATAGGAAGGATGCATTGTCTGCTTTGGAATTTTTGTACCAGTCCCCCATACAGGTCTCTTCTGTAAGGGGGACCTAGAAGTGCGTGTCAGTTGCATGAACGCAAAGGCATTTCATTCTGTTCCATTGTAAATAGATCTAGTCAGAGTTAACCGTGTCATGCATATGTCCAAAATCAATGTGTTTCCATGATTTAAAAAAAATCTGAATCAAAATATTTATGGAGTAGGAATCGGATGAGCTACAAAGCTATTTTTCAACAAGAGGTAAATGCCCACAACCAGCACTCATTGGGAAGTCGCATGCAATCACGGTGCCAATCTGCACCATACATGGACCAGTGCTCATCTGTTTTGGTGGTTCTGAGTTAGCAATGTAAATTCCAAATTCCCATGGCAGGGGCTAGTTGCTGCAAAGAACAACCATTATGACTTCACCCTTGAGCAGGATTTGAAGTCACAACTGTTTGATTGGGAGTTGAACGCTCCATCCACATGTCATGCAGCCAATCATTTTCAATGTCTTTAAATCTATTAATTCCAAAATTAGATTTTCTGGGAGGGTCAATGCAATGTCCTTAGTTGACACATGTTTCTACATTGACAGCTGTGGGGCTTATAGTTACACAGATTATTTTACATCAAAATCATTTTAAAAAGAGGCTCTCTTAAAAGTGATAAATAATTACACTATTCTCTCCCTGCTGAGAGACAAGTGTGGGGCAATGCCCATCTCTGTTGGTGGCCCTGAGCCACTGCATTCAATTCCACTTCCCAGGGTAGAGACTGACCCTACAATGGGACAAACAAGACTTATGAAGAAACTGGCCAACTTCTCAAAAGGTGGTATTGATTTTATCCACCATGCAGGGATTTTGCGCCGACCTGGATTTGACCTCACACCCACCTGACTGTGATTCGAGTGCTCTAAGCACAATGTGAATGATGAATATAGTATATATCCATGGTAGAAACCAAAAAAATCAACAATCAAAATAATGCTGTGGGATAGCACAGAGTTGGAAGAAAGAAAGCCATTAGCTTCATGCAAGTCCCAGAGGTGAAGACATGAGGTTAGATACAACATGAAATCAATGCACAGTGGTAAATTTGATCTGTGGTACTGAGTGATAATTGACATATTTTCTTGTGTCGTCCATGAAAAAATGGTCTGAGATCATAAATCATGGCTTAATCACAGGGGAGAGATAAGTGCTGAATTCCAAACCAGGCGCTCATGTCAATGCTGCTGGTTTCATGTTCTGACATTTGCCAATGTGAACCACCTGAGTCATCCAACTATAATATTAATAATTCTGAATAATTATAAGAGAAAAATATGAACAAAACAGCAGCAGCACCAGTCAGAGGTCAATGGCTTGGGTCTAACATGTAGTATGCATGAGCATTTTTATGTTATCATAAATATGATGGCAGAGTGTCTGGGATTCCAAATTATGAAGTCAGTTGTGCTAGCTCAGTGCTCTGACAAGTAATAAAAGAGGCTGCATGGAATTGGTGGTTTGAGATGAAACTGCTGTTGAAATCGTAGCTTTGACTCTGTGCAGACTGGTTTCATCGGCCTCTGGTAGGGGAACTTCAAAGGGTGAGCCTGGTGTTGTAATGTCAGTGTTTGTAAGATGCTGAGAGCTCTTTTCATGCTTTATATCTGTTATAAACTATTTATGAACACTAGCTTTTTATGTATGATGTATAAAAAGCAAGAGGAAGCAGTTATCACGGTAAGACCTACACAGAGGCTGCAGTGCTTCATATACATCCATAGCCATAGCTAGTAGCCAAATTCACTGATAAGTTACAGCACTCGTGGATACACTCAGTACGACCTTATAACGTGAATAGAGTAACTTTCGCAAATGTTGTAATTCAAAATGGTATAACAGTGGAAGAAAGCAATCGCCTTGAGGTAGAAGGGTGGCTTAAGGGGCTAAAACTGAGTCAGAGCGCTCGGCCAGGACTGCTTAGATCCTGGGTTTCCATCTGGGTTTCAGCCACTGGTGATTAAACCTGGTTGTCAAGTGCATTGAGTCGATGCGACTCGGCCTGCATTTAATGCCAAAAATCTGCATCTCATATTCCAACTTTGAGAATTAAACATTTAGTTTGATTGAAATGCAACATTCTTTGCAAGGTATTAAAATGTGTGCCCCTAGTATAGGTAAGAATATGAAAGGGACTTCAGACGTAGTTCCGTAACATCATCTTCCAGCATCATCGTCTGACGCACGTTACACGGCAATAGTTTGGAAAGGACATTTCTTCAAGGGGAAATATCAGAATATAATTGAGGAAAATAAGCCACACCTTGAAGAGAGATCGGCTCACAGACTCGAAGACCAGGCGCTGCAGGGAGGCGATGAGCGTTTGGACCCGACCCTCCGGGCTCTCTCCCACCTTTTGCACAGAGCACATACACGTGCCATACATACACAGGTGTGTATCCACATATATATATACACACACATGTACACATGTAGAGTATTTTCTAGGCCTGTAACAAAATATTAAGGGAACTCAATTCTTACATTCATTTTATTTAAGAAACAAAGGAAACAAGAAATATGTAAACAGTGCAAATCAAATTCCAGTTATGCACCGGACATGTACAGTGAGGGGAAAAAGTATTTGATCCCCTGCTGATTTTGTACGTTTGCCCACTGACAAAGAAATGATCAGTCTATAATTTTAATGGTAGGTTTATTTGAACAGTGAGAGACAGAATAACAACAACAAAATCCAGAAAAAACCATGTCAAAAATGTTATAAATTGATTTGCATTTTAATGAGGGAAATAAGTATTTGACCCCTCTGCAAAACATGACTTAGTACTTGGTGGCAGAACCCTTGTTGGCAATCACAGAGGTCAGACGTTTCTTGTCGTTGGCCACCAGGTTTGCACACATCTCAGGAGGGATTTTGTCCCACTCCTCTTTGCAGATCTTCTCCAAGTCATTAAGGTTTCGAGGCTGACGTTTGGCAACTCTAACCTTCAGCTCCCTCCACAGATTTTCTATGAGATTAAGGTCTGGAGACTGGCTAGGCCACTCCAGGACCTTAATGTTCTTCTTCCTGAGCCACTCCTTTGTTGCCTTGGCCGTGTGTTTTGGGTCACTGTCATGCTGGAATACCCATCCACGACCTATTTTCAATGCCCTGGCTGAGGGAAGGAGGTTCTCACCCAAGATTTGACGGTACATGGCCCCGTCCATCGTCCCTTTGATGCGGTGAAGTTGTCCTGTCCCCTTAGCAGAAAAACACCCCCAAAGCATAATGTTTCCACCTCCATGTTTAACAGTGGGGATGGTGTTCTTGGGGTCATAGGCAGCATTCCTCCTCCTCCAAACACGGCGAGTTGAGTTGATGCCAAAGGGCTCCATTTTGGTCTCATCTGACCACAACACTTTCACCCAGTTGTCCTCTGAATCATTCAGATGTTCATTGGCAAACTTCAGACGGGCATGTATATGTGCTTTATTGAGCAGGGGGACCTTGCGGGTGCTGCAGGATTTCAATCCTTCACAGCGTAGTGTGTTACCAACTCTTTTCTTGGTGACTATGGTCCCAGCTGCCTTGAGATCATTGACAAGATCCTCCCGTGTAGTTCTGGGCTGATTCCTCACCGTTCTAATGATCATTGCAACTCCACGAGGTGAGATCTTGCATAGAACCCCAGGCCGAGGGAGATTGACAGTTCTTTTGTGTTTCTTCCATTTGCGAATAATCGCACCAACTGTTGTCACCCTCTCACCAAGCTGCTTGGCGATGGTCTTGTAGCCCATTCCAGCCTTGTCTAGGTCTACAATCTTGTCCCTGACATCCTTGGAGAGGTCTTTGGTCTTGGCCATGGTGGAGAGTTTGAAATCGGATTGATTGATTGCTTCTGTGAACATGTGTCTTTTATACAGGTAACAAGCTGAGATTAGGAGCACTCCCTTTAAGAGTGTGCTCCTAATCTCAGCTCGTTACCTGTATAAAAGACACCTGGGAGCCAACAATCTTTCTGATTGAGAGGGGGTCAAATACTTATTTCCCTCATTAAAATGCAAATCAATTTATAAAATTTTTGACATGCGTTTTTCTGGATTTTGTTGTTGTTATTCTGTCTCTCACCATTCAAATAAACCTACCATTAAAATCATAGACTGATCATTTCTTTTTTCTTCTTGGTTCTTTTGGTAAAGTCACGTAGAAGGAAGTAATAAAATAATAAAAATAAAACATAATAAAATAATTATCACGACGTTTCGGCTACAACGCAAGCAGCCGTCTTCAGGTGCTTGCGTTGTAGCCGAAACGTCGTGAGAATTATTTTATTATGTTTTATTTTTATTATTTTATTACTTCCCTTCTACGTGACTTTACCGAAATAACCAAGAAGATGAATCCCTGCAGTCACGAAAGCTTTAAATCGAAATTTGATAATTTCTTTGTCAGTGGGCAAACGTACAAAATCAACAGGGGACCAAATACTCTTTTCCCTCACTGTATATAGCTCGAGACTTTCTCGTGCACAAGGTTAATAATGCTATATTATGTACTTATTTCCAAGACCCTTTGTAGCTTGGCGCAAATTCCAGCTTACTCAAGTCCAGCTTCGAGAAGTTTAACTGTATTCATTACAGCGGTTGGGATCATTGTCTTACACTTTCTCGTCTTTGTAATGGATAGTGGCAATGAAAGCGGGAGACAAAATAATGAAGCAAATAGCAAACAAGTTATCTTAAAGCACAGATAACAAGTTAGCTAAATAAAGAAATATTTAAGAAGAGGAGAGATATTCAAATGGCTAAACATTGGAGAATGGTGGAGAAGGGGGTTACTATCTCTTTGTGGTGGATCACGGCCCATGTTTGTCACTGTGGTGGATGTGAGCGTGCCATGGGGGTAATCATCTGAATAATATTAGCCTGTCCCCAAATGGCATTGTCCACACACCACAATGTTACCACTTGTTGCTACAATGAGGCGGGAATTGTTTGCCAGACAACTCAGCTCCACCATCTTGCAGCAGCAGATGTGTGGACTTGCTGACAATTCGTTACCAGTGGTGTCGACATTGGCTTTTGTGGAGGAGGCTCCTGAGAAGACTATTGGGCAGTTCAAGGTAGCTGCCCTCCAGCAACACAAATGTGGATGAGCGACGCCCACAACGAGCAGAGCGCCAGGCAGCTAAAGCACAGCCAAGTGGCACAGTTGGTGGATCTGCTAGTCATCCCGATCAGTCATCCCAGCCTTCATTGTTGCTCGCTAAACGGCAGTTGCCCCAACGGTCTGTGTATGCTATATTTGGGATCTTTGTCTGTGGACTCTATATGGATACTTGTATGTGTGTGTTTACCGATGTGGCATGCAGGGCACGCTGGAAGAGGCGCAGGAACCCGTTGAGGCTGTAGCGGTACATGTGGTTGATCTTACACAGATCGGCCATTATGAAGAACATGGAACTGCCTTTCTCAGCCAGAGGTAGGAATGCATCCCTTTCCTGGCGGACACGGAGCACCCATTAGAGAGGGAGAGATAATGATTGGTCGCATTATACATAATAAAGAAATTTAGTGTATTCAAGTCAAGTACAGCATTTTTGTTTAATCAGGTAAATTAGTCCGCAATATTACCAAAACAAAATCATAAAATAAAAATAGTCCAGCTCCTCAAACGAATGCTATGAACACATTTGTAGCATGGCATGTAATAATATGCACCAACTAGTGTGCATGAGAGGCAATTTAAGGACCCTCAGATGTAGAGCTGTAATACCATCTCAAAAGGTGCTTTATAACATGGGGTGATACTCTGATATCTCAGTTTCAAAAGTAAATTTCTTCATCTCAATGATAATGATAGCACAAATGGAATACAATTTTAAATAGACTGGGTTTGCAAGTGTTAAGGATGGATGGCTAAGAGCTTGATATATGCCTGAGAGACCAAAATGCATTAAGGAGGAAGAAACTGCATAAGTGCTGGCGTACTGTCCCAAAATGGTTCGCAAAGCCAAGCGTCGCTGGAAAGCTTCCCCTTCAGCCCAGGTCCATGCACCTTATCTTTCTCTTCTTTCTCCAATTATTGCAAATCTTGAATCTGCACAACAGTCCCATTTCCTATCCCTCATCTCTTCTCCTGCCCCTCATCCTCAACGACTCTTTTCCACCATCAATAACTTGCTCCATCCCTCTGCTTCTACCATTTCCTCTCCTCCCAATGCCCCTTATGCTCTGGACATCTCTCAACATTTATCCTATAAGGTTGAGCTCATCTTCTCTCTTGCCCACTCTCTTCCTTTCCCTCGCCCCTCCACTCCTTTCCATCCCTCCCCTACCCCTTCGTGATCCCTAAGTACCCTCTATCGCTGTCACTTGTGCCTCATTCTTTGTATGCCCCTCCAATTAGCATGGTTGGCTATGTACGGTGCGAAAGAAGTTCAACATACATACATCATTCCATTCTGTCATCGTTTTGTAAGCTGTCAAGTGCCTTGAGTGAAGGTGCTTCATACATATAAACTAAATTAGATCATGAACCACCTGAGACATACGTGCATAATAATTGAGTTCATGTCTCCATGTCTCCATGTGTCTATGTCTCCATGTCTCCATGTGTCCATGTGTCTGTGTATTTATCCTCCTTGCTTTTTTGTGTCCAAACGTGTATGTGTCACGTGTCTATGCGGCAAGGTGTCAATGTGGTCTGCATATCAATGTTTACATTTCCACACGTCCCTGGGTCTTAAGTAAAATGTGTCTATCTATTGTCTGTATGTGTATGCGTCAACTTGTGCATGCATTGCACGTCTCTGCCTCCACCTGGTTGAGGGCCCCCTGGAGCTGCAGGGCGGCGTTGAGGGCACTGGCGATGACAGAGCTGCTTGCCTTGGTCTGGTTCAGAGAATCGATGAGTGCGCGATTCTCGAGCACGTTGCCTCGTGCCGTGGCCAGGCTCTGTCACACAATGCAACACAACAGGACATGATGCAACAACACATCGCTTCACCATGTCGCAACGTGACGTGAAAACGCAAAGCGGTGTGAAAACACAAGAGATTACACAAGGCAACACATGATACAACAATGTTAACAGAGACACAAATGGCTACAACACAACATGGCAAACCAACGTCCATAAAAACTGGTCTTGTGATATCACACAAAACATGACATGTTGTGACATCACACACACAAAACACAGTAACGCAATGTAATTAACGCAATATGCAACACGATGTCACATCATGCACAATTATATTGTGATATCATATCTTATTTTAATGTTGAATGGTATTATTATGAACCATGATACCTTGCTAATCTCGTCAAGGAGCAAAAAAAGTTACGAGAACTCCGGTCATCCTTGCAGTGGCTTTTGGATATTCATCGAATAAAGGACGGTCACCGCATCGTGCGCTTTCAGATGTGCTTCTGCGGCCGTCTGGAACTCTCTTCCGTTCGATATTAAGAAGTCACTGGAGATTTAAAACTCCTTCCTTTTTGACTGCTTTTTTTGTTTAGTTTGTTTTCCTTCCCACGCAGCTCCGATTGGCATGGTTGGCTATGCACGGTGTGAAAGAAGTTCAACATATATACTTGTAAAAGTGGGTTTTATATTTGTTTTCTCACTTATTCATATTCTTTGGTTCTTTCGGTAAAGTCACGTAGATAGAAAATAAATAAATAAAAAGTGAATAAAAATAAGAAAAATAAGAAAAACACACTTTAATTTTTTTATTATTCTATCTACGTGGCTTTACTGAAATAACGCAAGAATATGAATTCCTGCAGTCACGAAAGTTTTAAGTCAAAATTTGTTTTCTCACTCGTTTGACTTTTAAATCTTGGTATGGTGAGTAAAACTTTTTACGAATTAACGATATTTCATTTTTGTTAACTTTATTTAAGAAAAAAATCGTAAAAATACGTTGTTAACACTATACAGAGATCAAAGTATTTATTTTTATGATTATATTGATATATATTTTTTAATTGCACATCCATCAGTGACAGCTGATTTCTCTGGGCGAGCCCAGGCTGTACAGCAACGTGTCTCTCGCAGCCTGACCATATATGACAGTTTTTCGCCGCACGAGTTCAAGTTTATGCTTATTTTGTTTAACTGGGTGAGAACTCAAGAGACCAAAATAGTCTCATTTGCAAGAGTGACCTGGGGCATTAGACTACCAGGAAGGGGGGCAATGATTGCTGTGTATAATCCCAATTGAGTAATTTGCAGATAATCTTCAAATTTGGAAACTTCGGACCCCAGCACACAATGGCCTCCTCTATTGAATGACATTAGGGGATCTTTAATGTGCAATGTGAAGCAGACAGCGCATATTATAATAATTACACCTGCAGTAATAATCAGGGCATGCTCATCGTGCACAGGACGGGTATTGGCCCATCATTTTCTCTTCAGTATATCTCTTGTTGATTTTTTATATGAATAACCATGGATTGACGCTACTCTTTCTTTGCCAGGACAAGGTATTTCTGCATCTGTGACGCAGATTTCTACCTAATGTGTCCTTTAGGTTCCATAGGGAACATACGAGGTCGAGCCATCCAATTCTGCCAACCTCTATTCATGTTAGATCAGCAGAGAAGATTGTGTTATTAGGACCTGACCAGAGTCCTATCATTCTATTTAAACAATTGGTGTTTGTGTTATACGGCATCAGACAAATGGGGCAGCCAGCTTAAAAGACTTGCCAGACCACTTGGGCGAATAGATGCATCTTACTCTGGTATGAGCAGGCATGTAAGAAAGCTTGATGCCAAGTCAAGGCACACAAAGTGCTTGCCACAAATGAACCACAATACCTTGCTGATATTATCAAGGAGCATAAACCATCATGCAAACTCCGGTCATCCTTGCAGTGGCTTTTTGCTAACCATAAAACAATGATGGTCACTGCATCGCGTGCTTTCAGATGCACATCTGCAATCCTCTGGAATGCTATTCCTTCCGATATTAACAAGCCATTGGAGCTATGCACTTGTAAATATGGATTGAAAACGAATTTTTTTAAAACTGATTTTTGTGTTTAGTTTGTTGTCCTTCACCCGCAACTCCGATTATAAAGTTTAGCTCCATATGGTGCGAAAGAAGTTCAACATACATACAAAGTACATTCATAACGGCAGTGCCTGCGTTTTTGGTGGTAGGCAGGGAGGATCATTGGACGCCATTGGCAGGATGGCTTTCGTAAGACATCTCTACATGCCTTCATAAGGCAGGATGTTTTGACCTCTGGAGATGCGGTGGTCGGTGTGGCAGTGCCTCCCAGTTGTGGGACATCTCATAATTATGATAAAGCAGAGCCTTGAAGGGTTTGCTTACAAAATTAATCTGACTCAGAGGTCTCATGCATATGAAATAAATCATTGGAAGAGGCTCTCATCTGACTATTCATAGCATAATAATAGAAGTTTATTAGTGATTTTTGTTTTAATGACATTACTTCGAGGTAGGTTAATTCCTCGAAGGAGAGGTGTGGCTCTGTCTAAAGTAAAGGCCACATGCTAATCAGGTGACTGGGATGTAATTGGTAAAGTAAATAAATCAGAACAATACACAAAAACTAACAACAGCAACTGGTCAGCATCACCTCCAACAATGAGTCTTCCAGAAGAGCGAGCTGGATTTTCTTCTCCTCTTCCTGGCAGAGGAGTTCCGTCTTGCGGGTCTCAAGCTCCGGCTTCTCATGCTGTAGCGTGAGGGCAAGCAGCTGTATGCGGCAGACAGGAACCATCATGTGCACAAGTGTGTGTTAGGGCGTGTGTGTCTAGAGGAAGTATGGAAGGCGATCCGGAGTCTGAGACCAGGAAAAGCGCTAGGCAGAGATAATCTCCCAAGCAAACTGCTGAGGGAGGGTGGTGCTTATCTGCAGACTGCCCTATATGGCATAACAAATTCCCCTTGTCAGGCACACTGAGAAGCTTGCGGAGCCCCAATGTGGTTTCAGGCCAGGGCGGTCCTGAAAAAACGCCATATTTTCTGTCTGTCTGCTACAGCAAAGGTGTAAGCAATTCCAATGGGACCTACATCTCTGCTTTATTGACCTGGTCAAGGCCTATGATACCATCAATAGGCCTGGGCTCTGGGTTGTTCTTTGTGCTTTCGGAGTCCCTGACTCCCTGCTCACAATCATTAAGAACCTTCATGATGGTAGGCAGGCCCGAGTAAAGCTACGTGGCCAAAAGTCAGAGCCATTTCCTGTTCACCTTGGGGTGCGAAAGGGATTTCCACCGGCGCCTACAGTATTTAACATATTTTTCAACCACGTAGTTCGAGAAGCCTGTCATGGCTGTATTAGAGGAATCTCCATCTGGTACAGACACAATGGTAGGATAATTTAGTGATTTCTGCTCACTCAGAGAAGGAGTTATGAGGCACTGCTGCTGAACGTGGAGCATGCTACTAAGAGGCGGGGCCTTATCATCAGCCCCTCCAAAACTAAGAACCTCCCTGGATATTTTATGTCATGAAACACTTCACCAGCTCAACTTCTCATTGGCGGGGCAGTTGTGGAGTGGAGATGTTTCCATACTCGGGCAGTGTGGTTATGACTAGCTCCGGTTTGATAGCAGAGGTCTCACTGGCTGCGTAACACTGTGTGGAAACTACCTAGGCTCTTGATCAACATGAAGCTTTGGGTCTTCTTGGCCACAGTTATGCTCCCCCCTTCCCTATGCTCATGAAATGTGGACCCACCTGAACGAACATCTGCGCTAGTTTAAAACATTCAGGCTGGCCTGCCTCCGATCTATCCTGGGTTTAACCAGGCTGGATTGTGTGAAGAGCTCACACATCCTTGAAAGATCTGGACACATTTTGGTCAGTCAGCTCTTCCGGCAACCGAGGCTGCGTTGGCTGGATCACATAGCCCGCATGCTCAGCCACCGCATGTCCAAGCAGGTTCTGTTTGGCTGGATAAAGGAGGCTAAACGAGCATGGCATGGGCTATAGAAGAGATGGACTAATATGGTATAGGAGGATGTGGAGCTGACTGGACTTGTCGATGACTGGTACCAGCAGTGTCAAGATCAGCCTCTATGGAGGAGACTTGTCAAGGATGCTACTGGGCAGTTTGAGGCAATCACCCACCAACAACAATGGTGGGCATAGGAGTGACACTTGCAATGATTGGAGTGCCATAAAATAAAGAAAGTTGGCACAGTAGGGAACACAAGTGGTGCATCTGCCAGTCATCTCAGTCAAGCCACGGCACCTGGGTCTGTCCCGTGACTTCCTGCCAGTGAGCCTTTGACACTTTACATGGCCTCAAAATGCATTTAGCCCGGCATAAGCGCCATCGTGGCTGTTGGTGTTGTGTACTAATATGTATATAAAGAGGTTGTGTACGTGTATAAGAGCACATGTGTGAATGGACTCCTTAATGTTGACCCCGTTATAGGTATACCTGCTCCGGCTTGAAATATTCAGGCTGTAATGCTACAAAGCATCTGGGATTTAACCAGGCATGATTGTGTGATGTGCTTACAGATCCTTTAAAGATCTGAAGTCTGATTAATAAGCACCTCGAAAAGGCAAAGAAGAAAATGTTCAATCAAACCGGTTGGAGGGGCTACACTGGTGCTGTACAGGCACGAGATGTGATGGGCTTAAATTAAACAGCAGGACCTGGAGTTGTGTAGACCTGCTGATGAATGGTACCAGCGATGTCAAGATCGTCCTCTATGAAGGAGGCTCATAAAGGATGTGACTGGGCCGTTAGAAGCAATCACCCTCCAATAGCAACGGTGGGCACAGGAGCAATGTTTACAACAATGATCCGAGTGCCAGGTAACTAAAACAGCAGGTTGGCAGTGGGGAGCATAAGTGGTGCATCTGTTAGTCATCTCCCAAGACACCCTTGCAATTTAGATAAACAAAAGTCAGTTAACCCATAGCATCCAACTTTGTCCCATGACCTCCTGCCAGTGATTTTTTGACACTGAACATGGACTGACACAATCGCCGTAATGATGTCACTTAGTGGTGATTGGGAGCTGTTGTTGTTAGTGTGTCCGTGCCTGTGCGGTGAGGCCCGCCCTCGTTGTGGTGAAGTTCACGGCCGTAAGAGCTGAGGCTGCATCTGGGGGGACATCCGGCCGGGGGCTCCTTGTTGCCAAGAACAGGCGGAACTCGTCCGAGTGATCAACCTGACGCTCGCCCAGCTGCACCACGAACCTCGAGCCTGTACACAGCATGCAGACAAGGGTGTGCACGTATGAGCAAATATACAGGCAGACCTCGCTTAATGGGACCTCATAGGACGCCGATTCGTTATAGGGCTCTTTGTCCGGGAGAAATTTTAACAAACATTTTTTTTTCTAAATATTTAAACGGTGCTTAAAAGTGAGAATATGCAGCAGCGCCGGCCAAAGAAACGTCCCCACCCCAACCATTCGGTCAGCTATTGAGAGTGACGTATGCTGAGCCAACCAGACCCCACCTCCGCGATTCGATTATCGTGATTTGTGGTCGTGATTACATTATTACAGTGCATTTGGCCTGGTGAAAACTCACCAGACCGGGATAGAATCTTAGGCTCCACCTAAAAGAAACCTCACCACTAAAATCCAGATTGGGAGTGCAGCAGCTCCAACCTCGTATCCCACGGCTTGCAGGAGTAGAGTCAAATGCACTCAGTTTAACACGTAGGCTTTTGCAACCAATTTTATCCATTATTTTTTTTTGGGTTAGAAATGGTAAATACAAATGTGCCGTTAACCCGCCACCACCCGGCACAGCCAATAAGTAAGGTTTGCACGTAAACATAACGGGCCAATTAGTTACTACTTCAGCACACCGGTGTGTTGGAGAGTAAACCTACATTTACAATTTGAGTACGACGTTTTGTTTGTGATTACAACCAGCTTCATCGGGCGATTTGCCAAAATTGTGAATAAGTCTTTCTGAATCGGTCCTAAATAGAGTAATGTTTTATTATGCATAAAATGCACTTGTGAGTACTGTACATAATACCTCCTGATGTTATGATAAATTAATAACTTTAGTTATGAAATGTTTCCCATCTATGATTATTAGCGCTATTACCAATTTCTCAATGATGCTCTCATATATATTGCTCATTTGAAAGAAATAACGCTGTCGGGAATGCATCCCCATGTGTACAATGGTATGATCCCTTTTTGCGTTGATTTGATTCGCATTCACTTCTTCAGGAATGCATCTTGAGTGCATTGTCTATACGAGGATTCTATATCTCTCTTGAACATGAATTGGTCTCCATATCCCTGGTGTCCTCATCCCAGCATGTCCTCTCCTTTGGCTGCCATTCTCTTCCCAATAATCTCCATCGAGCATAGTCAATTTCAGTGACATATTCTGCCTAAGCACACTTACTTTTCTAAAAAGTCAATAATATGTATCTGGTTCTTATTTTCTCACGGATCCACGTGCTCCTCTTCCTGTATCTCGGTGTACGACTAAGCATACACCACAGAAATATTTTTTCACAATGTTTAGCTTTTCATCTACTGCTATTAGGTTCAGCCTTCCAAAACACTCCACCTTGCTCTTGTTAGCCTCTTAATTTCATCAGTTTGATCCTGTTCTATATTTCATAACAAACCTGGGCATATGATATTTGAACAAAAATTTATTTTACAAATTTAGCACATTACTGAAATAAAGACAACCACACAGGACTGCACTTATACAAAGGAAAATATACCTGGATAGACATATGGATTGTTTGGATAAGGGGTGTTAGTGAGCACCTATTAGTGCCACAAAGGCACATCTGGAGTAATAATGAACATGTGGCGTTGGTATAACTGGCACTACGCTCGACAACCTTTATCACTCCATTGCTGATGTTTACACACTTCGCCAGCTATCCATTTAAGGACATATCAACTTAGGGGTGGCCCATCATAGGTTTAAATATCACTGTCAGCAGTGTTATATATGGCTGGGAATCCAACGCAGGGAGCAGAGTAGTGCAATGCGCAAACCACTGGACCACCACCCCCAAACTAACACACACGTGCGCATATCTGCAAAACGCACACGATGCACTGATGCTACGGTGTTAAATTACTTTGCTGAAGTAACTGCTGTGACAGCTGACGGCCTGGATTATACAATTGTCACGGGTGAGAGGTTTGAGGATTTGGAGTTTAAAAGCAATTTCCATCCCATGCCTTCGAGTCTGAAAAATACCGCTGTGGGAAAATGACAAAACATACGTCACATAATGGCAGACCTTGATAAAAAAACCAATAACAGACAATAGCATACAATACATTCTTGATAAAGCATAATCACAAAACCACACACTGCTAAACTTTTTTTAAACAAAGAAGCCAAAACTATATATTTTTTACTATATATATCATAAAATAACATTTCGTGATGTGATTATTATTACAGGTCTCAAACCATATATAGACTGACTCAATAGTCTCGATGGGTCTATGATGGGGTCTTTAGGCAATAGACAGACAAGTATATGATTGGAGTTTAGGAAATATGTTAAAAAACCGTCTCAGACAGATTACTTACCAAACTGATTACATTCTGGTCTCTGAATTAGTCTTTACAGTCTTTACAGATGAGTATCTGATATAGTCTTTAGACAATAACAGATCAGTCTTACACAAGAAAAAAAGAGACTCGTCTCCCATGGAATGTTTCAGACAATGACTGACACATTGGTCTTTTAAAGAATGTTTCGACAAAAAATGTATAGATCGGTCTCTGATGAGGTCTCAAGACAAAGGATTGTCAATAGACAATAGATTGGCAAACAAGTCACATGTGGCACTGCTAAAAATTATAAACTAATTAGCACCCCTGCACAAAATGTCACAGTGAAGACCGTGACATCGTTTGTAAAAGCAGGACATTGTGTTGGTCACCAAGTCAAAATCGCTCATCTAAAATTCAACCACACGCAAAATGTACAATTATAACACGAATCTGTCTGTGTATAAATATAGTCACCCAAATCTCCATTTTGACAGGAATAATTAATATAATTCTGGGTTCTCGATCGGTTAAATAAAAATACCCAAGACGGGTTGATAAATCATTAGAAAACGTTGGGGGTAATGGGGTTGAAGAACATGACATATTTTTTACGGCTGAGGGGTTTCTGGATTTCAAAGTTAAAAAGCAATTTTCAGTGCATGCGCTCGTGTCTGAAATCTCTCCGCATGCCTCATGGAGTTATTTTTTTTTATCTGTCTATAGCAACTCGGCTTAAAAGCTGCAGGCTGATGGACAGAGGCAGCGGTGGATGAAGGAACGCGCTACACATTGACGTGGCTGCGTGGCTGGCAAGGGACTCAAAATGACCATGTTGGAGCACTGAATGAATACAGCAGAGATTCTGGGTTCATATTCCAAGCTAACGCCCACCCAAGATTAGACCAGACTACGGGACTTGTGTCTTGTGAAATTCATAATGACCATGTCATAGCCACGAGCCGACAATGCCAAGGAATAGTAATGAAACCCTGAGGCAAATCATCTCTTTCTTGTGGAGTTCATAAAGGCCATGTCAGACACCTGAACCAGCACCACTGATGATGTTTGTTTACATGCTGGAGCCCGTGCCAGTAGTGATCTTGATACCAAACCAGGAGTGCTGATATACTGGGTTGAAGTTCTCATTGCCTACCTGATATTAAACTAGGTTCTTGTGTGCTATGGGATTTAGTAGAGGAGAGCCTGTCAGACAGACGCGGTTATCTTCGCCATCGGCCCAGTCCCCTTCTCCCCACGATTCTCCCCTTACTGCTTTCTCCACAATCGGCTCCACCCGACCTCTGTTGACGACTCTCACTCACCAGACACCTGAAACTACTCACTTGACACTGTGATACTCACCACTCGCCAGTCATCCTCCTGGCCCTCACCAGGACACGTGGCACCGCAACATGAATGCATTGCACGACTACACCACACCACTACACTGCATCACCCCATAAAGCACACCCCTGCGGCCATCTGGAATGCTCTTCCTTCCGCTGGAGCTATGCACTTTCAAATTTATATAAAACAAACTCATTGCTTTAGAAAGGATTTTTGTGTTTAGTTTTTTGTCCTTTCCCGCACCTTCGATTACGTACTACGTACAGTGAGAAAGACGCTCAATATCCATACATACTACATCCCTACACTGAACCACTATAGTACACACTACACCACTTGTATACACTACCATACCATTACATTGCACAACTTAACACTATACGACACAACTGTACCACACCACTAAACTTCATCGTCACTTCCCGACATATTTCCTCCTCATTCACCCAATCCTTCATTTACTCGTGTATCTCTGGCCACTCATTCCACTAATTAATTCACCCAATAATTTCTCTCATTCATTCTCACCCATTCTCTCATTCCTCCCTCAAACCTCTCAACCCTTTCATCCACTCATTTATCCCTCATTTAATCATTCATACTCTCATTTACACACGTTTCATTCTGGAAAACAGCTAACACATTGGATTTTATAAAGCAAATTAACGGTATAAGGTCCAGTTGTTCAATTTCACAATGCATATAAGGAAAAGTGTGGGATTGAAAACAGATTGTGAGGTAAATTTCTCGAATTTTTCCCTCATTCTATTACTTAATCCTCTCATTCATTCTCATTCTTACCTCAATCACAAATCCTCATTTACTCATTCCTCTCATTATCAATATTTCCTCAATCACACATACATCTCATTTCATTTTGTACCTCATCACATCTTTCACACCTCTCATTCACTCCATTCTTACCTCAATCACTCAACCCTCTCATTCCTACCTCATTCAATCACTCATTGCTCTTTACTCTCATCATTACATAATTCACTCAATCATTCATTCCCTCCAGTCCCATCCACCTCCCTGATGCTATCCTATGACTTCTTATTCCAACTGTTGCTAGGGATGCACGTTGCTAGGGATGCACGTTGCTAGGGATGCACGTTGCTAGGGATGCACGTTGCTAAGGATGCACGTTGCTAGGGATGCACGTTGCTAAGGATGCACGTTGCTAGGGATGCACGTTGCTAGGGATGCACGTTGCTAAGGATGCACGTTGCTAGGGATGCACGTTGCTAGGGATGCACGTTGCAAGGCTGACAGTTGGCTCTCGCGAACTGCAGAGAAACATTTGATTTCGCAGTGCACATAAGCTTATTAGTGTCGCAGAGTTTCGTA